CTGGGACACGCACCCTCCCCCCCCCCATCCAGTCCTGGAGCCCAGGCGCCCTTGTCAGAACATGGACGCCACAGTGAAACAGCCCGGTAGGCCAAGCCCGGCACGCCTGAGTCAACTGGCACGGGCCAGCAGCAGTGTCTGACAGCAGGGCCTGCATATCTTATTGCTTTCAAGGGTCTCCCCGCCCACAGCCACCCATTTCAACAGAGGGGACAGCAGGCTGGGGCGGGGGAGAGGTCAGTTGTGCTGAGCCGGACCTAGGTGTTTGTCAGGGTAACCCGTCTCTGCTTCAGATCAATTCTTCCAAAACCTGCCCGCTGAAGCAGGGCCAGGGTCCATCAGTGCAGCACAGGTTCAAAGGATACACACAAAGAGGCCTTGTTAGTCCTACCTCTTCTAGAAGAAACACCCCCCTTCCCTCCGGTGGTAATATGTTCCCCGTGTCCCGGTCCGAGACTAAGCCCTGGCAACAGAGGCACCGAGCCCATTAGCAGTTCTAGATGAAGGCGTTCTCCATGCTTGTGCCTTTCAAAGACACTCTGTCCCCCTCACAGATTCCTAGAAGCCTCGTTATGTCTCTATTACCTTGGACACCCATTTGTGGTTTCTGTGTCGAGTCAGCTGTCGGTGGCTTCAATTACCATCGATTGCCCTCTTCCCCCGCCCCTCTTCCTTCTAATAATTCCCTGAGCCAGATAATTCTTCCCCTTGCAACATTTCCAAAGGCTCTGAACGGGGCATTTGCAAGGCTGGCCCTGTTCTCTCCAGAAGAGGTTGTGTTTTCAGACTGGCATGCACATCAACTCTAAATCAAAAGCCCACACTCGCGCAGTTGGACATAGGTCTTGCCTGCTGCAGAAGTAGATCAAGCCCTTCCTTGTAATAGCCAGAGGATGCATTACCTGCCTCCTGCTTAGCCACGTAACTGCTCCCCACTTGTCCCCAGGTGGAAATGAGGGTGACAGGCTGAGTTATTGCTGCAGTTGTTCCATTAGCTTTTGGGTGCTGCGGGTGTTCAAAAGTCAGGTTTTGCAGCCCTGTCGAAAGTTCAAAAGGGAAAAGAATCTGCTCTAATTGTTCATAAAGCTCCAGGTCTTTTGTTCTGTAACAAAGTGATGGCTCTTTAGACAGCACTGCCAGTGTAATTCCTGGTATTGCAGTTGCTGTAGAAACAGAGTGGAGCCACTTTTTTCAATTACAATTACGTCCTTTGATAATTTTGTTTCTTTTTTCTGCCTTTTTAAAGTGGAAACTATGATGAGCGAAATGGCTGATTTCTACTAAAATCCTAGTGGAAAACAGGTTTGCTTTTTCGCTCACCCTCCCTTCTCCTGCTACATTCTCTATTTGGGCAGGGTTTAGAAATCTACCCCCTGCTATATCCTCCCGGGAATGCTGCACATAGCTGAACTAGAGGAAATTTGAAAACCAAACAGGAGCTGTAAGAGCCCCGCAGTGAGAAAATAAAGGCAGAGGCACAGCTATGTTCAGAGAGCCAGGAAGGGAAGGAGAAAGCAAAGATCTGCCCCAGGAAAGAGAACCTAAGATACAGATTCTTTTATCTTGTCCCTCCCATCATCTCCTCTGAGATGACAGGACTAAACATAGGTTCCCAGGGGTGTGAAGAAATTCCAGGAGGGGAGTAAGGTGACCCAGATATCCCCCTCCATCAATCCCACCCCCAAGTTTTGCTGCTATTTTTTGGGGGGGGGGGCGTG